TGTTTGCGTAAGACGGGTTTGTCTACGGAGGCGAAAATAGTTCAGGAATTGAAGCTCGAAAAAAGTTAAAACCTCGCAATTTTTTCGTCCTGCATGTATCCATTTGAAATTTTAGCAGAAGGTGGTAATAGCCCAAGGATCAAAATCTATATCGAACCGAAGTGCGCTGAAGGGTTTTAGGGGTGAAAACTACCCCTAATTGTCAAAAATTATAAAATAACATATTAAACCTGAATATGGGTAAGATTTGGTTTGAATTAATTAAATAATGATTATTTTATACTTTTGAATAGAGTTTCATCATATTTCAACCCTTAAAAAGCAACCCTTGTTAGAGATTAATGTAAAAAATTACTAATTCTAAAAAAATGATTTCGCCTTGCATCGATTTGGATAAAAATTTGGATTTAAGCTCAATTCACCCGCTGCTTTATAGTTTATGTCATGTCGACGAACCCTGATTGTTATTAGGGGTGAAAACTACCCCTAATTGTCAAAAATTATAAAATACCATATTAAACCTGAATATGGGTAAAATTTGGTTTGAATTAATTAAATATTGATAGTTTCGTGCTTTTCAATAAAGTTCCATCATATTTCAACCCTTAAAAAGCGACCCTCATTAGAGATTAATATAAAAAAATTAGTAATGCGAAGAAAATGATTTCACCTTGAAACGACTTGCATAAAAATTTGGAATTAAGCTCAACTCACCCTCTGCTTTATAGTTTATGTCATGCCGATGAACCCTGATTGTTCTTAGGGGTGAAAACTACCCCTAATTTTCAAAAATTGTAAAATAATATTACAAATCCTAAGATGATTGAAATTTGGTTTGGATTAGTTAAATAGTGAGTTTTTTATACTTTAAAATACAAATTCATACATTTTCAACCCTTAAAAATCAATTGTTATGAGTGCTATAGGTGAAAACAATTTTTTGCCAAAATTTTGCAACTTTTCAACTTTTGAAAATCACCCTTTACAACATTGAAGTTTTTATAAACTAATTTATAAGATATAAATTGAAAAAAGTAGAATTAAATACAAAAAAAATTATCAACATAAAAAGGCACCATATATTCTTATACATTTACATAAATAGTTGAAAATATTTACATTTATAGGTAAAACAATTATGATATTAATTTTATTCGTCATCAATTACATCTTCATCGTGATCTATGTCATCATCATCTTCCTCAATTATTGGTGGACTGTTATTGCACCCTTCACCTGAGCACCCAGAACAAGTAGAGTTACAGTATAAACCAACTTTTCTGCACCCATATGAAACGCCGCATCCTTTTTTGCATTGGCAAAAAATAATTTTCAAAAATTTATCGGGTGCAGGTTGTTTGTTCATGCGTACGGGTAATAACAAACCATCTTTGGAAAACCATCCCCAATCTGTTGCTCTGATATTTTCATTGCCAAGCCATAGACATATGAGCAGATGTTTTATTCTGTTGTATGGGATTTCAAAATAAGAACGCTTAAAATTTCGAATGTATAACGCCCCACTAGCTAATATACCGGTTTTGTAGATGATTATGCTCCGAAATGTACTGTACTATACTAATGGAATTTTCCGGAAAAAAATTAACTGGTTTTTTAACGTATTTCCTTTAATTTTTAACGATAGATGTTTCTTTAAAAACGATTTGTAGAGGTTTTTAATAGCTACAAGGATCTGTGAATTAAATCTTTCTGGAATCCTTGGTTTTTAAATGGGGTGAGTTTAAAGGGCCCGAAAAAGATGGTGCTTGATCGTAAATCGATACTTTAAACGGCTATATCTCGCCAAATATTCATTGTACAACAAATCTAAATAAAGGATAATTTTAGTCATTAAAAAAGCTACAATTTGGTAATTTTTATTTTTTTCATATATTCAGTATTTTCTGGCATATTTAAAAAAAGAAGGGTAAAAAATATGAAATTGTAAATCGTTTCTCGCTTTAAGCTGTACTTTTTCTAAAACTAAGCATTTTAAATGGGTCAAACTTCTTGGAAGTATTAACAATACATCTACAAAGGGAATTGCAGAAGGGTGAAGATCGATTTTAATTATGGGGGTGGTTAGGGTGTTGTTTTCCTCGATTTTTTCGTAAAAAATGAGGTATTGACCTTATTTTTTTATGATAGGTCTATTTATGCTCTTTAAAAAAGGTTTTGTGAGTTTCCTTCCAAAAATGCATCATTTTCCCGATATTTGACTTTGAATCTTTCAAATTTGGCATTTGAAGAAAACCGCTGAACATTGATATTGTATTTGTAATTGTATTTGTCTTTTTAAAAGCTACAAATTTGTTCTCTACAATTTTTTTGATAAAATGCACCATTTTCGAGTTATTCGCGAAAAATCGATTAAAAACGTGGATTTTTTCGTCTAAAAGTTGTTACTTTCAATCGCGAATAACTTGAAAAATATCATTTTATAAGAAAAATTTATAGCACATTTTTTGTTTAGAATCACTTTTCTAATCGAAACCTGTAGTTAAAACGTAAAAAAAAATTTCACCCCGGAGATGGTGGGGGTGGCAACCACCCCCTAGGCTTTGGCGCACTTTGGTTCAATATAGATTTTGATCCTTAGGCTATTACCTACGTTCTGTTAAATTTGAAGTCAATCCGCGCCGCACGAAAAAATTGCGAGGTGAAATGCTACATTTCCTGGACTATAACTGGTTTGACAGCATAATCGTAGATTTATGTGTAGCTTTCAATTTTTATGAGTTCAGAATCCAGCAGCCCACTGAAGTATGGGATTTTTTATAATATAATTATTTGACAATCTTTTGTTGGCCAACCAGCTACAGCAGAATTGAGCCGAAATACATCATATTCCTATGTTCCGAATTTATTTCGTTCAATCTGTATATATATATATATATATATATATATATATATATATATATATATATATATATAAAGAAGCATACTATTGCTAGAAATGAGAATACCAAGAAAATTAGTGGATCTAACTTAAATGTAGTTCCTCAAATGTAAAATCTTACTACTTCTAAGTTGGGGTCATTAATAGTTATGTTCTGTCTAACTCTTAGCCTTGGACTTTTGGTTGCTAGCATGTAAAACACCTCTCTCACTTCTCTTGTAGAATGAACCACTGCATTTAAATCATAAGCAAAGGCCAACAATAGTTTTGATCCTCGATTCGAAAAACGAAGCCAAATACCTAGGTGTAACATTGCATAAAGACCTTAAAGTAACATTGCATAACGTTTACACCACATAGTAACGCACCAATTTAAAAGACAGAAACAGTAAGAGCGGCCGTCATAGGATTCACAGGAAGAAAAATCAAATTAACAACAACGATCAAACTAATAAATAGCATCATACTACCTATACTCACATATGCATCGCTTATATGTGGACACACGAGCAAAACGAACAGAAAGAAGATACAAGCAACCCGCAAAAATTGAAGCTTGAAAATCATTCAAAGCAGATATTGCAAGAATCAATAGGGTATGATGTTTTCCATATATGGAAACATAGAAGACCAAAGTAACAAATAATAACAATTGCTGAAACAAATAATATGACAAAATAACCACGTACCTCGATCTGAAGAATCCATGAAATTCAAATCGCAAGTAGATAAACATTTAAACCGGAGTCGGTCACCAGGAAGATAAATACATTTAGACGCCCCCCTCTAAAAAATATAAAAAACAAACAAAAACCAAAAAAATAAATAAAAATTAACAGAACGACGCAAGCCATAAAAAATACTAATAACAAAAACCAATATCGGGACGGAGGGGCCCAAATTCTCGAGCTCTGAGTCGTCGAATTGAACCCAGTTCGGAGCGGGAACTTGGCGCTCGGTCAAGCAAAAGCACAATGATGATATGTCAATTAAGATGATAGTAGGATTGTAGCGCCTCACGTTCTCCAGCCTAACTAGACGAAGTATTTCATGTGGGAGTCCTTGAACCCAAAACTCCCATGTGACGAGCATTTTACCGATTTGTAGCCTCTATAGCGCATCAGCGAGCTATTGGGGGTGAAGGATGGTCTGGAGCATTGGGGCGAGATAGAGTAGTTCCTGATCAACTCGGATCAATCCCCCTCGCCACAATGAATTGTAACACCTATATGTATGTCATTTTCTAATGAATGTGCATATCTCACAGGCTGGGTTCGATTCCATTGCTTGCTCGATTGCATAGGAAAAAGTTTCGTCTCAGCAAGTATACAACGCTGATGAGTGAGGACTAAGTTTTAAAGTGTTGCTAACCAAAATCTTGATTTACAAAGAATACTTTTCTGCTCTAGAGTTTAAAACGAACAAAGAAAGCCTTATCAGTTCAGAAAATCGGTAGAATTTGCTACTGCTTTTCTACAGAAATCATAATAATGCATGGATTAACCTTAAAGAATGGTTTTAACAATAATTCGCCTATTTAGTTACATGATTTAATTAAGATAATGTTACTTTTCATTTCATTTTCAACCACTAATTTAAAAAAAAGGCTCTTCAGACAAAGAGAGACTAAAATGGGCATAAATCGTAAATTTTATTTATGGGGTGGTCAAAGCACAGGAGAATGCAATAAAACTCTAATCTAAAAATCTTGGAAAAAAGCTTTGAACAAGAAACTTATCTTGCAGATATAACACCATTGAAAATCTTGACATTCCTAAATATGAAGAAGTATGGAAAATCTTCCTCTAATAATGGATCTATTAAGAGGTCAACGGGACTAAGTAATGACGTTGTATCCATAAGTTATAAGAATAAAGTTCAAACTGAGGACTATTTCTGAACTAAAAAGAAGACGTCTCGATAAATCTTGCCTCACACGAAGATATTTCCAGTGAATTTAAAGTAATATTTATACGGGATTTGACATGAATTTTTCTATCATCTCTGCACCTTTGTCTCCGCATCAATATGAATGACAGTGTAAAAAATATAATTAGGTATACCTATAGATTTCAATATTCTTGTATGTACTAACTGTTACCTGATTCTTTAAAGTAGTATCCCAAATAACAGAGCGAGGGTGCGTCGTATTTGGTTTTTCTCCATACTGACATTCATATTCGGATTTGTGATTGTATTTGTTTTTCTTGTAGTCACAAGAATCTTCAAACCAATTTCCTATTAGAACTTTTTTACAATAATTTGTTTGTTTCTGGAAAATATAATCGGTTAAAAAAATAAAAATTAATTGGTACTAAACTTAAACTCTTGAGATCGTATGAAGGGCGTAATTAATGAAAATATGAGCACTTGTCAAGCGAGGATGGTATAGGTTAGCAGGAGTAAAACATAATAAGGTTTATAGATCTTATAGTTTATTCGTCTTCCGGGTTTGGACCGTGTCATTTGTGAGTGACCCAAAAGTGGGTTCATCTCGACGTTTCGCTACAATTGTACCAAGATGGGCATTTGGTCACAGTAACTCAACTACTCAACGCAGCCAGAGGTGAAAACCAAATGCCAGGACAGGGATTCACGTCCAACAGCTCAGAACACAGGATTCACTCCCCGCCTCTCGACGCGTTAGTGTTCTGAGCTGTTAGACGTGAATCCCTGTCCTGGCATTTGGTTTTCACCTCTGGCTGCGTTGAGTAGTTGAGTTACTGTGACCAAATGCCCATCTTGGTAGTTAGTATTCGCCTCTGGTTGCGTTGAGTAACTGAGTTACCGTTGCTAACTACCCATCTTCCTGTCTTTTGTTTTCTTTTTCTTTTTCTTTATTCTCCTGAAGAAGCTACATACAATTGTAGCGAAACGTCGAGATGAACCCACTTTTGGGTCACTCACAAATGACACGGTCCAAACCCGGAAGACGAATACACTATAATTCTGACTCTGGCCGTGGAAGCCTACGATTTCATTTATAGATCTTGTTCAAAGATAACTATAGACCTTGTTCTTTCTCATCCACAGATGATAGAATAAATGAAAAAGGTCCAGAAATAACCAAAGAAGAAGTTATTCATGCAGTAAAAGCTAAGAAGAAAGGAAAAGTCACCGGTCCAGAAAATAGCAATGTCTAAATATTTAAATTAATTGCAGATAACGAAAGTAAAAGCCTAAACTTGATAACAGCACTATTTAGTAAGATATATGACATAGGTAAGTACCATCAGATTGGCTAAAATCAACATTCGTAACATTACCAAAAAAAATCCACTCCATCACAATGCGATGACTATCAAATATTATGCTGAATGTCTGACATCCTTAAAATTTTTCTCAGAATTATACATACACGAATTTACAAGAAGTGTGAGTTTCAGATGAGTGACACTCAAGCCGGATTTCGAAACTGATTGGGAACAAGAAGCTCTTTTATGAGAAATGTGACAACGATGCAGAGATATGAATGTAGATGTGATTATCGAAATGCATTTGACTGTCTTAATCACGAAAAGATAATTGAAATTCTGAGAACAACTGGAATTGACGAACAAGATTCGCGAACTATCTCAGAACTATATTGGCACCAAACGGCAACAATTGAAATAGAGCACACAACATCCGAAGATATAGTAATTCGACGAGGAGCGCGACAAAGTTGTTTATCATCACCACTATTAATTAATCTGTATTTGGAATCTATGAGTAGCGGGTAGATACTCCTTTGTGATCCCAGCAAAGTACAGATCTATTTTAGGAATAGCAATCCTGCCCTCTCGAGCTCGTGGTTTTGATCCTAAATACCTTTGCGCCGGGGAACCATGTGATGACCCATAACATTATTTATTTATTTAGCGTATGGCTACATCACAGGTTCATATATATACATATAATATAAATTATATAAATTACAAATAACAGTAAATACAAAAATATTATTCTACAAACAAACATCTAGATTATAAATATATTCGATTGACTCTTTTGTAGCAGCCAGGAAATCTGAAGGGTTGCCGTTATAGGATCTAATCGGGCATTCCTCAACCATGTGTTTTACTGTTTGCCTTTCGGCGCCGCAGTCGCAATTTGGTGATTGTATTTTTCCCCATCTAAAAAGTGAGTCGGAACATCTGCCACAGTTCGTCCTTATTCTATTGAGTGTGGTCCAAATTCGTCTTGGTTGGTTGAAGCCCTCAGGTTTGCTTGTAATACATGGCATGTTCCAGTTAGCTGGTGCAGCGTTATTCTCCCATTGTTCTCTCCACCGTTCAGTTACATTAAAGTTTTGATCTACTAGCCTTTTTGCTGTTTTTAGAGGCAGGTGTCTTAAACGGAGCCTATTTATGTCTCTGGCGGAAGTTCCGACATGGGAGCGGAGCTCAAGATCAGTATTGATTTTTGTAAATTCTCTGACAAGGGCATGTTTCCGGCGGATGGGTGGTGGAGCTATATGACTCAAAGCTGGTAACCAGTAAGTGGGCGTGGCCTTGATTGTGCCCGATATAGTTCGCATGGCTTGGTTGAGTTGGACATCAACACGGTGAGTATGTGGACTGTTTATCCATACTGGTGCACAGTATTCCGCTATGGGGTATACCAGTCCTAATGCTGTCGATCTAAGTGTGGGTGCTGAGGAGCCCCATGTAGTGCCGCAGAGCTTTTGCAGGATGTTGTTACGAGTTCGGAGTTTTGCAGCAGTCTTAGTAAGATGCTCTTTAAAGTTCAGCGTTCTGTCAAGTGTAACACCTAAGTATTTTGGGTGTTTATTATATTTAAGGAGTCTATCCCCAAAATTGATTTGAGGTTGATAGTTGGCCATCTTGTTGTACAAATGGAAGCAGGACACTTCTGTTTTAGTTGGATTGGGTTGCAATCTCCATTTGCGGAAATAATCCCCTAGGGCATTTAAATCGTTTGTTAGAATGCGTTCAGTGACCTCGAATTCTTTATGACTTGCGGCAAGCGTCCAGTCGTCTGCGTATCCAAACTTTTTTGATGTGGTTTCTGGCATGTCTGCTATGTAGATGCTGAAAAGCATGGGAGCCAGCACGGATCCTTGTGGAAGTCCATTATTCAATTTTCTTTGGGTACTAGTCTTGTCTCCCAATATAACTTTAAAGCATCTGTTGGATAGCATGGCGTTAATAACCTCAGTGGTCTTTCTGCATGGGATTATTCGCATTAATTTATATATTGCCCCATAACATTAAATCCCATTAAATATTAGCCTTGTTCCTGTACGCGGGGCTCTACAGGAATCGACCAACGGTCTTCAGCTACTCATGGGAATAAATATGAATACTCACTAACATGCAAGGCAAGTACGGTGTTTTAATATCAAAAATCCGACAAATGTCAACCAACCCTATTCAAAGTGCGTCAAAAAGATAAACTTCAACATCGCCACATATAATACCCGGTCACTCTCTTCCGAGGAAAGATTTGAATAAATGGAGGAAGAACTTTCAAAAGTGAATTGGGATATTGTGGGTATTAGTGAGGTAAGAAAAAAGGGAGAGAGTGTTATAACACTAGAATGGACAGTCGGAAGCGTCGGTTTCTTTATTCATAATTATATTCTCCATATTCTTTATTTATATTCACACAACATGTCAACAACAAAGAAATACCAGGCAATAAAAAAAGACATAAGAAACTAAAAAACTAATAAACAAGGCTGGAGAATAAACTACGAACAGAGATAAAAAATATTAACAATAGTGGAAGAGTTCTACATATAGATCGAGAGAAAATTATAACAATACGCAACATCTAATTACAGTAAAAACTGGGGTACTAAACCAAGGATCAGATTTAATGCCCGATATAACAAAATTAGAAATGAAAGAAGCCTTGAAGAAAATGGGAGAGAATATCTATCGTTAAGGAAGTTGTTTCTGATATTTGTGCCCAACATAAATGTGACGTATTTTAATAGAGAAAACCACATGAAAAATATAGAAGTTCTATTTGGCCCATCCTGGTCTGAACATACAACCATCTGCTATCATTGAACTCAATAATGTAAAAATTCTCACTGTCTACAGATCTATTCTATACAGAGTGAACTCTGTATAGAAGACTCCTGTGAAAGATTTCACTTTCCACAACTTCATGATCGGAACACCAACTTCATTCTAGATGACTTTTATTATTTAAGTACTACATGGAGCTACAGGGACATTACAATAATAAACTACTAGATTTGTGGGCAGAACAAGTACAATTACAAGTGACACAAACTTTCCTCTAGCTAATCTGGGATCTGGCAACTTTGGAAGAGCGTTCAATTAACCATATCGATCATTCCATGTGAGGGAGATGCAAAGGTTTCTTTCTGCTTTTATTGGAACCAATCAATCGACAAACGGTTAAAATTAGTGCCATTCAGATTAGGGGGACATCTCTATAACATTTTCCAACTTATTATAATGGGAAAAATTGAAAGACGAAGAGAAATTGGTAGAAGCAAGTCATTTGATTAAAAAATATCATAGAATGGACCGGGATTCTGATCTGAACTTCAAGAGACTTGATAGAGCACCCAATCAGAAGATCATTCAATATTTCGCCTTTGATCTGAATGAATTCTAAGAAAGCACCAAAACGGCTGAAGAATTTTTCAATCAGTATATCTTCAACCGTAAAAACCTCCTGGTTTGAGATTGCATTTTATTCAGCAAAGCATGCTTATTTCTAGCATTCATTTCTGGGAAATGTATTACAATATCAATAGGTATTCTTTTCGTAGGACCACCAACATTGTACTGTTTCATATGTGTCCTCTTTTTATCAAAAGGGCCATAGTTTTAGATCTTCTCTGCAATTTACCCAATGGAATCATCCTCAAACATTTTGTTAAACCTTTATAATGCCAAAGTATCCATCTGATATATCACCATGTAACTTATGCAATATTTCTCTTACTTTACTTAGATACAATTATCTATAGCTTACATTCCATACCATTCTTTTCTGACAACGCAGTAGCTTCTTTCTCGTTTCAACATGACTTCGATAAAGTAAGCGATGATTTTTTCTTCTCCATTTTAGATCTCCGAAAGAAGCTTGGTAGCTTATCGAAAGTTTTTTGGCACTTCGAAAGCTCTTCAGTTAGATTTGTTAAGGGCTTAATGATATTAAGAAATTTTTTGACAAATATGTGAAGTCGAGGGAACCTCCAAGGCAAAACCGAGGGAACCTCCGTCTTTAAATTCTACCACAGCCTAGCATAGCTTTTACTTTTCGTACCTGTTTATTGTCAAT